GGGGGGGGGGGGGGGGGGGGGGGGGGGGGGGGGGGGGGGGGGGGGGTCCTGGCGAGAAGGCGGGGTCCGGAGGCGGGCGGAGTGGGGCGTGGGGAGGGGTCTCCCGCGCTCCCCCCACCCGCCGGCCCCGCGCCGACCCTGCATTCCGCGGCCGCGCACCTGGCCGCCCCGAGTGTACACAAGGTGCCGGACAATGTGCGGCTCCCCGGGCCATTGTCCGCGGCGCTGGGCGGGACAAAGGTGCCCCCGGGCCAGCGGCCGCGGCGAGGGGCGGCGACGCGGTTTACCCAGCTGGGGGAGGAACAAAGGGCCGCCGCCTTATCGCGGCCGGCGGGCGGGGCGGGGGCGCGGGGTCAGGCCGGGGGCGCGGGGGAGGGCCGCCCGCCAGCCCGAGGGGTCGCCGCGGCCCCGTCGCAGCGCCGCTGCCGCCCGGGGGCGTCCCTGCCTCTCGGCCCGGGCCTCGGGAAGGCGCGCCCGGAATGCCCCACGGGGATCCCGGGGGCAGGAGGTGAAGGCGGCTCGGTTCGCGGTGGTTTGTGCTCCGAGATGATCCGGTTCTGTTACAATGCGGGTGGTTTTCGTATGGGGTCACCTTTCCATTTACAGCCTTGCTTCCAAGCATGTTTTCTTCTGTGCTGAAACAGCATCTTGAAAAAGGATAAACAGGAAGAGTTAGAGTCGTCCTGGCTCAGGGGCTTGCGAGGAGAGAATGGCCCGCTTTCCCTTGTCCGTCCTGGGGGACAGGCCAGGTGTCCCTCTGGGGCCGGTCCTTCTAAGGAGACGCGCACACCTAAGGTTCTTAAAACAGAGACACCAACTCTGTGAAGCTTGCCGTTGATTTTTTAAATAGATAAATCTGTAAAGGGAATGTAAGTTGTGTCTGTTTCTTTCCCCCCGTGGGTCTGCAACCAGGCTTATTACCTTTCAGCACCCTGCTCCATCCATCCTGGTGATTATTTATTCCCAGGTGCGTGGGGGCGGGTGTCATCAGATTCCCACCCACGTGCCCTTGGATCAGGCGCCTGTGTGACACTGCAGCCCTTTCACCCATGAAAGAGATAATAGCCAACTCAAAATCCATCCACCATGCATTCATTCAGCCAGCTGTTTTAGAATAGCTGCTCTCTGCTGGACACTGTTCTGAGCACCAGGGTGCATGCGTGAATAAAACAGACAAAATTCTCCATCCTCCTGGAGTTACATAGTAGTGGGAAGATAAAGACAAGACTAACAGACACTATATATGTGCCTTACCTAGTGTAAAACGTGCATGAATCCATGAGGTTAGGTGTCAGGTAAAGTAAGAGTGAAGGAGGAAAGAGGTCTACAGCCTGAACACAGTCCTCACTGGACGGCCTGTCATTCTCAGCATCACCTGGGATGCAGGACTTTGACCTTCTGGTGCATGATGGGAATGTGAGAAATCGGGTTGTAGCTGCCTGCCTTTAAAGGGGTTGGAGGATAAGAATTAGAGACCTCTAAGAACTGTAGAGGGGACTTCCCTTGTGGTCCAGGGGTTAAGAATCTGTCTGCCAATGCAGGGGACGTAGGTTCAATCCCCGGCCAGGGAATTAAGATCCTACGTGCCACGGGCCAACTAAGCCCGAGAGCCACAACTAGAGAGCCCATGCACCACAACTAGAGAGATGCCCGTGCACCGCAACAAAAGATCCCACGTGTCGCAACTAAGACCCAATGAGGCCAAAAATAAAAATAAATAAGTATTTTTTAAAAAACACAAAAACTGTAGAGTCCAAGTGATCAAATATTCACTTCCTGATTCACAGTGTTCCTAAACCTGTTGGTAGAATAAATATTCCAGAAAACAGATGCACGTGTGCATGGTGGAAGTGGGAATTTGGGGACAGAAATAGATTACATGTATGATTTTTTTCTTCCTTCCTTTCTTTCTTTCCACTGAGATATAACTGACAAAGCATTATGTCAGTACCTTATAATACATAATTGTATTAGTTTTAGGTGTACAGTAATTTCTTAATTTTCATAATTCAGGCATTTAAGACCACTCTGGAAAATAAAAGAGAAAACGGAAGCTTTCACATAAAAGGTTCACTGCCAGTGTTAGAGAATCCGACCCCGGGGCACAGAAGCTCACGGAGCCATGAGGGCTGGGAGTGGGCCGCGCCGCCTTCCTGCACTTCAGGTGCCCTGTGCACCTGCCTGGGGCTTGGGTGCCTTCCCTTCACGCACAGGGCATCCCGTCTCCACGCACCTGCACAGGCCGTTCTTCCCACCGGACTCACGTCCCCCTCATTTCCTGAGTCCCGTCCCTTCTCCCAGGCCTGTCACCTCCCCCACAATGTTCTGTGCCCAGAGCAGAGGGCTGTGGAGAAGGGCAGGGACCCCAGAGCGTGGGCTTGCATCCCGCCTCACCTAGTGTGTGCCCGTGTCCCCTTCTGTAGAAGGGGGACCGGGTCAGTCCCGGTCTCCCAGGGAGAGAGGAAGCTTGGGCAGCTGAGCGTGTGCCAGGCCCCACATACAGACTCAGGGAACAGTTCAGCAAACCAACATCCTCGCAGCTCTTGGTCTCCACACCCACAAGGCACAGGGGGCACCCTGGGTCCACGCGCTCCAGTGAGGGTCCTCGAAGTTGAAGTTCCAGGCTAATCTGGGAAAGAGATGTGGTGGGTAGGGGTGTGAGGGTGGGGAGGAAGGCTTTGTAAAGACTCTTTGGGACTCACAGGAACCCAGGAATAAGGGCCAGGGTGAGAGTGCGTGGGTGAGATCCTGGCACTTACGGACTGGGGGGCGTGGGGCAAGTGACTTGACCTCTCTGTGCCCCATGGTCCTCTGTCAAGCGGGGAATGGCAGCCCTGTTTCGCAGGGCCACTGTTGAGAAGCACACAGCACAGGAGGGAAGGGCCGAGGGCCGCCCCAGAGGAGGTTCCGCCACGTCAGCCCCTCCCACACAGGGCCCGTGGTGTCCCCACTCTCCACTCGCTGCCCTCCTGGACTTGCCTGCTGGAGGCTCATGGACCCAGGGCCACCCTGTGTCCACACCGGCATGATCACTTCTCTTGGGGACTCCTGCAGAACGGAGAGAGAGACAGAGACAGACACAGAGAAGGAGAGAGAGCGCGAGAGCCATCAGCTTCCCGTGAACCTGCCTCTCTGGCCAGCCTGGAGCCCTGGAGCCCAGCCTCCTTTTGAGCCATGAGGCGTTTGCAAGTGGGGTGCGCCTGGAGCCTTGAAAACGGCCTGTCTGCCTGCTGTGCTGGAGAGGCACGGGCGAGCTGGGTAGATGCGGGCGACACGCAGGTTGACCGCAGCCACGAGAGAGTCCCAGAGTCCCAGCGGAATCGCCAGCCCACAGAAAGATGAGCTGACGGCTGTTGTCGCAGGTCACTGCGTCTGGGGGGCTGCTTACACAGGAAAAGCCAGCTGATCCAGTACGTACTACGCGCGCAGCTCAACCTTCCAAACCACGGCCGCACAAAGAGCTCCGCGAGCTCCCGCCACTACCTGCTACCTGGACCCACAGCTGCCTGATCTAAGTGATACTTACTGAGTAAGGCTGCCGTGCCCGACACAGTACCAGGCTCTGGGCAGAAAGCAGAGAACGGCAGGGCCATGCTCCCCGTGCCGTGGGCCTCAGGCTGCAGCCGGTTGGAGGCAAGATGCCCAGGAGGGTACCCAGGAGTGAGCAGCGCCCTGGAGATGTCCACAGACCGCCGCCTGTTGGTAACCGTGGGGTCTTAATTCTCACCGCCGTGGGCTGCGCCCGCTGGCCTGTTAGCTGCTTCAGTGCAAGGGCCGTGTAGGCTATTGTATCAGTCAGGACCCGGCCGGCCGCACGCACCAGGAGAGCCAAAGGAACAGTGGCTTTCACGGACAGAAATTCATTTCATCTCCTGTAAACCCAGGCTGCCAGCGGCTGGTCTGGTGGGCCACGGCCCTTTATCTCGTGGCTTTTCCTCTGTGGTTCAAGGTGGGGCTTGGGCTCCACACCCCGACCAACACGACCAAGGGCAGGTGCGCGTGTGTCCTCCCCAGGGGTTCAGGTGTGGCCCCTTTGCTCACATCCCACTGGCGAGAAGTCTCTCTCTCTCGCTTTTGTTAATCTGGCTGAGCTGTGTGGCTTGTGGGATCTCAGTTCCCCGACCAGGGGTTGAACCTGGGCCCCGGCAGTGAGAGTGTTGAGTCCTAGCCACTGGGCCACCAGGGAACTCCCGGGTGAGAAGTCGTAACACGGCCATGCTAAGCTTTGCCGGAGGTTGGAAAGTGAGTCTTTATTTCCATTTGTCCACAGGCCTCGCTAAAAATTGGGGTTCTATTCCGAGGGAGGATGGGGCATGACTGGAGGACAGCTAACTCTGCCCTGGGTATTTGTTTGGTTCTTTGTGTGTGTGTGTGTATGTGTGGCAAAAAAACACATAGTAGTTATCATTTTAACCATTCGTAAGTGTACAATTCAGTCGCACCAAATGCATACAGTATTGTGTACCAACACCTGTATCTATTCCCCAAATGTCGCATCACCTCTGTCCCCATTAAACACTAACCCCCTTCCCCCTCCCCTGGGGAACCTCTACTTTCCAATTCTGTGAATTTGCCTGTTCTAAGTATGTTTTGGTCCTTTTGTGCACTTCCCACTGTATCCAGTATAGAGATGAGCACATCAAAGGGCTCCAGTAAATTAAGCTGGTTTTTCCCACTTCAGCAAAGGTACCGCTCTCCTCCCAGGCGTTTGAACCAAAGGCTCTGGGTCACACTCTGCTTCCTCTCGTCCTCCTGGCCCAGCTCCCCTGCGGCCAAGGCTGCCCGCGGGACACACACGCTCCAGGGACCTGCCCCAGCATGCCACCTTTGCCATCTCTCCCCGACGCCCCAGGCTGCCCGTCCCAGGCGCCAGCATCTCTAGATGTGACTCAAGTACATGCTGCTGACTAGGACACCCCTCCCCCCAGCGGGAGCCTGAGGGCGAGGGAGCCAGCAGAGCAGCGTAGGAGTCAGAGGCCAAACAGCTCACTTTGAAAAGTAAAACCGATGCCCCAAAAAATGTAAGTTCTCTACTGTACAGCACGAGGAACTATACTCAGCATTATGTAACAACCTCTAAGGGAAAAGAATCTGAACCTCTGTGTATGTATAACTGAATCGCTGTGCTGTACGCATAAAACTTACACGGTATTGTAAATCTACTCCAATAAAAAAATTTTAAAAAAATTTCTCTGCTAAATTTAAAACCAGAAATTCAGAAATCCTTCCAGCTACCTTGACCTATTTCCTTTACCGATTTTCACAGGTAAAGGAAACACCTGAATCGTCACACACTGCACTCTTGCTAGCTTTTCAAAATTGCTTGAAAAAACCAGGGGTGCTTGTGACCCTCCTGAGTCCCCGGCGGCGGCTCTGGGATCCTCCCGCCGGCGGCCCCTCCTAGGGTGGGCTGGGGGTCTCCTCGGGGCCATGGACGCGCCCCAGTGCCCCCATAGCTGAGGCCTTCTCTCTCCTATCTTCATAAAACAAAGTAATTCGCTTTTAATGACTGCCGGTGTTTTCTTTCCCAGTTCTGTTTGAGCAGATAATGTGTCGGAGGCTGTCCCAGCAGGGTTAAACCACCGTGACCTTCATAATCAGAGAACAGAAATAAACGATGTTTACTCATAAATGTTACCGAGTCTCCGGTGCCCAGATGCCTCCTAATCACAGCGGGGGTGATAATATTTTCCTTTTATCAGGCCTCTCACTCACAGGTAACAAAGTGCTTTATTATCCCACCGTGCAGGTAGGGAGCCCTCGGTCGCACGGTTTCCCAACCCGGGACGCGCTCGGGGTCTCCCTGCTGGTGGCCCCATTGGGCCGCCGGAAGAGTCGCTCCCCCGAGGGCCCCCCAGGCCTGGAGATCTGGGTGGCCGGAGGGTGGGCAGGGAGCAGAGACCCCATGAGTCCCCTCTGGGATCTCGACAGGCCCACTTGGCCTCTGCTGTCAGGGTACAAGTCAGTGGCCCAGGCCCCTCCAGGCCGGGCTGACCTTGCAGGGGGAAGTGGCCAGATCACTACTGACTCTCATGCAGGTTGTTTCCGCTGCCACTCGCTTCACAGGAGCCGGGCCAGGAGCTCAAGGGGGAGGCGGCTGGACCCCACTGGTGTCGGGGAGAAAGTGCAGGTCTGCACCGGCCTGAAACCCGGCTTCTTCCAGGCCCGAATGGCCAAGCCTCCGTGCAGGGAGGACAAGGCCCAGAGGAGAGGCGACTGGACAGTGACACTCCACAAAGCACCCACCCCTGCCCCGGTCCCCAGTGGCACAGCCAGGCCACTCACGAGTCCAGGGAGTGTGGGCCTCACTCCAGCTGCCCTGTACTGCGCTGCGTGGACAGACCAAGGGCACGTGGCACGAAACAGCAAGCCCAGCCCCAAAGTCCATCTTGTATTTTCGGCTTCTCTGTTTCACGGCTCTGGGGGGATGTTCGTGGTGGGGACGGCAGAGCCACTTTCCCAGGGCAGGCCCAGGGCAGGCCCGGGCCCTGCTGTCGGGCACCAGGCCAGGACGCCATGGCCTCTGCCGCTGATTTATCAGTTAGCCCCAGAGTAGCTAAAGTAGTAAAGCAGACGCTGGCTGCCCTATTAAATCTGATTTAGAAAACAAGAGAGGTTTAAAAAATCTCATTGTCCATTTAAGTCAAAACGCATAAGGATGCTAACGACCACTCTGTGGGTCTGGCCGGCTAGCTTGGGACCAGATTGAAAAGTACTTCCTCCACCAGTCAGAAGTCTGAGGGCAAGGATAAAATAAATCTCAAATAATTACGTTGTATTTTCGATGAGTTAAGTAAGTGTGCTTTATGCCGTGGACATGTGAACTTGCTTCTCTGCACACAGTAAGCCCTGGATAAATACTTACTGGGAAATCTGTGTTTGTAATGCATTGTTTTTGCATCTCGTCTGGTAATTCTGCCCTTGGGCACATCTGTTCAGAGTTGGCTATTTGTAGGAAATCAGAGCTTTGGCCAAGCCTGGGCAAAATTAAGTAATGACAGTAATAGAAATAATCTTAGCCCTCAATTTTAAGGTGTGTAGGTGCCGGGCACCCTGGTACAAGTGCTGGACTCCTGGAGCTGCGCTGGCCTTCAGTGCTTTGGTTTCACCTTGTACTTTTTTGCAAGCTTTGTTCTACTCTCATTAAGGATAATTTCCCCAGAGACATAAAAATGTCCTGGATTACCCATCAGCGTTTAAGAATTATAAAGTAGATACTAATTCAGACCTTCAGAATGATATTCACGGGAAATCGTGGCTTGAGGAAGAAGAAGGCCTTCAGAGACCCCCTATTTGCACTTCAGGGGGAAGTAACCAGAGAGAGAGGTTCTGCTCTCAAACAATTAACAAGCACCTCCTTTGTCCAGACGGGAACCTACCCGGTGACTGATCCGGACACAGTGCCAGGTCCTCTGAAGGACACAAAGCTCATCATCGGTCATAAAATCGCAGGTCCTAGAGTTAGAAGTGCCCTTACTCCTGCTGAGGTCAGGCTGTCAGCAAAGCTGCTAAGCACGCCTTCTTTGGCCAAGTCATTGATACAAACGTGGGGGAAGGGGGAATGCCGAGCGCAGACAGGGACCTGGAGCTGCTGCTGGGAACCTTCCTGGGCCCGTTGGACAGACGACGGGTCTGCGTCCCGGTACTGCTCACCCGCGCCCATCGCCCACTGACCTCCTGGCAGCTGTGCCCTTGCGGGGACAAACCAGAACAGCTGGCCACCCTGCCTACTCTTCTGAATGGACAGGATTAAGGACCCACGAGAAGAGAAATGAGAGCAGTACGGACTGAAGTAGTTGTTAGTGAACTCATCCTGAGTTTAGAGAAACTACCGCTGTCGCTCCAGGCACTCACAGACCTACTCGAACAATTAGAGAGAACCTCGATGGCAAATCCATTTTATAGGTAAGAGTACTTCAGAGATGCAGTGACTGCTGTGTGCTGGCAGCAGGCTGGCCTTGAGCTGGGCTGGTGCCAGCAGTGGCCGGGCCCGATGTGCTTGTCCCTTCTACACCTTGTGACTGACCAATGGGCAGGCCAACAAGAGCGTCCCCATCACCTAGTCGAAGCGGGACTGCTCAGGGACTGAGCAACAAAACTGCGCTACGAAACTCTACCCCACACCTGGATTTACAGACGCTCGGCCAGCGCAGCTGGGGCTCCCCTCCACCTGGCAGGGTCTCCTCCCGACAGGCAGGAGAATGGGTCGCCAACCTGGGAGCACGGGCCCCGCCCCAGCCCGAACCCCGCACAGGCTCTGCTGGGAACCAGTCTCGTGCACTTGCCCCAGCCAATGGTAGCGTCTCGCCATCTGCCGTTCAGAGACGCGCCTGTCATGGCTTCAGTCGTTTTGCGATGGGTAGTCTGATCTTCCCTGGGGAAAAGGGAGAGGGGTATAAGAAGACTCATCTAAAAAATGTATGTATTTTTATTTATCTAGCTTTGGCTGCGGTGGGTCTTCATGGCTGCGCGCGGGCTTTCTCTAGCTGCGGCAAGGGGGGCTGCTCTTTGTTGCAGAGCGTGCACTTTGTTGCGGCGGCTTCTCTTGCTGCGGAGCACGGGCTCTAGGCGTGCGCGCTTCAGTAGTTGTGTCTCACGGGCTTAGTTGCTCCGGGGCATGTGGAATCTTCCCGGACCAGGGGGAACCCATGCCCCCTGCATTGGCAGGCGGATTCTTAACCACTGAGCCACCAG